GGCCACCCCCCAGAAGTGTCCCTCTCCGCACCGGAAGTGCAGGCCCAGCTCCGTCAAGATCTCCACCTGAAGGGACAGGAAGTCCTCCAGCAGCTGCGAGCTCTGCTCCAGCCCGGGGCCTGTCACTCCAAACATCTCCACCTGGGGCAGGGAGGGCACAGGGGTCAGGAGGCCAGGGGGCAGGGCACAGCGGTCAGGAGGCCACGGATGGGCGGGGGACACCCCTGCCAGCCAGTGCCAGCTGTGCCAACCTTGGTGAAGTGGTGCACGCGGTACAGCCCCCGGGGCTCCTTGGCCGTGTCCGTCTCGGCCCGGTAACAGGTGCTGGAACAGACCATCCTGGTGGGGAACAGGTGCGGTCAGACCAGGCAGGGCAGAGTGAACGTCACAGGTTGGGTAGGGTCTAAAGGAACTGAGTGTCACCTGACTGGCAGGTCCCTGACAGCCACAGTGTGGTCCATGAAGTAACCTGGGAGGAGAAGGGGGCAGGATGGGGTCAGCCGAGGCTGCTGCCGCCCACAGGGTAACATTCAGAAAGGCATTCCTCTGGAAACAACGCCAGGTCAGAGTATGTGGCTGGACTGTCACTGTTCTGTTGAGCAGTAAACAACCTACACAACTGTACATGTTGGCCCTTGTCCTGGGCAAGCTTCCCCCACCACTGTGTGTCCCCTGACAATCCTGCCATTCCTCACGGCTCCATCTGGGTAGGCGCTCACCTGCGAGCCCGACCTCGGCCGTGCCAGCCAAGTTGAGGTCTTCGAAGCGGGAGGGGTCAATGTTGTAAATTTGGGACGGGGTGGCATTTGGCGTCATCCCACAGCCTTCCTGGGGGAAGGCCATGGGGTCAGGCAACCTGGGCCTCCCCTAGTCCAAAGTCACAGCCCCTGGTCCCCCACAGAAGCATCGGGAATCACCCTGGCCTCCCAGTTATGGCCTGACCCCCTCGACTCAGCCCTGGGCACTGTCCTCAGGGGGCTGCTGGTCCCCCTGCCTCGGGTCCCCCACACAGGGCCTGCACCCAGGGCTTCACTCACGAACACGGCTCCTCGGAGAAGGTCTGGCACCGTCATGGGGGTGAAGCCCTGTGGGGGGTAATCGCGTCAGGACCCAAGCTCAGTCCAGAGGAGGGACATTGCAGAGTGTGCTGGTGGCGCCCCTTGTCACGCCCAAGCCCACCCCACTGCAGGGAACTGCTGAAGGCCTGAGCAGGGGCCTGGGCCTGGGTGTCCCGTGCTGGGGCTCTGGGCTGCAGTCCCTTCAGCTCCACTTCCCCCGCATGGTCCCTCCCGGGGCGGCTGGAGCTGTCACTCACAAGCACAGGTCTGACTGTGCCCTCCCCAGAGCCCTCAGGAGAAGGCCAGTCCCTCGCCAGAGCCAACACCGCTGCCATCAGCCCGCTGCCCCAGGCTCCCCAAACCCTCCACACCCACGGGCAGCGAGGGGCAGGCTGCAGTGCAGCTGCCCAGCAGTCCAGGCCTCACGTGGCCTCCCCCTCCAGGCCTCGACCTCCCCTTCTCTAAGGCGGGGTGACAGCACTCGCCTCGTTGGGTTATCACAGGAATCAAGTCTGTCCCAGCGCAAGAGGCTCCCAGAACGGCGACTGTCGCCGGGCGCCCTGAGCCCCCCAGGTGGCCCTCCCCTCCTGGCCCGTACCCGGCGGACCAGCTTGCTGAGGGTGAAGTTGACCAGACCGTGCTGCAGAAGGGCCCCTGCCCCGCGGAGGTAATAGGAGCGGTGGCCGGACACGTGGGACAGGCGCCTGGGGGACAAAAGACAAGCGGGTGCACATGGGCCAGGGCTGGTGGGGAGGGGCTCGGCGCCTGGGGAGGCCCAGCTGCCAGGCAGGGCTGGCATCAAACATTCATGCCGGGCAGGGCCCTGGCACTTCTCATGCACACAGAGCCCCGGGCAGGAGCGGCTGCCAGCTGCCAGGTGGGGACAGCAGGTGCGGGGACAGGGCCTCACTTCTGACGGATGATGTCGAGCTTCTCGCCAATTTCCAGGTGGCCCCGGGGTTGGAAGGAGAAAGCTGGATGTGGGTGGAAAGCAGAGGGGTGAGAGGGGAAGGAAGGGGGGG